TGTTCTTCTATAGTCGTGAATAGGAGTCTTGTTCCGTCATCATTACAGAGGCTTCTTCAGGCAATAGATGGGAACGGCTGCAGAACCACTGCCAGACCAGACATTATTTGGAGAGTCTAAATTGGAGTTCTCCATAGGTCCCTCCCTTTGAGATCTGGGAACTCTGAACAAGAGAGGGACGGATCATTGTGGGCGTCAGAGGATGGGGGACACCAGGAGAACGTGTCTGACCAAAACAGCAAAGCAGGACTCACATGGGCTCACAGAGATTGAAATGGCAAGAATAGGGCCAATATGGGTCTACACTAGGTCCTCTGTCTGTCTGTATGGCTGATAGGTTGTTTCTTGGCATACTCCTAATAGTGGGTCTGGGTATATCTCTGAGTCTTCAGCCTGCAATTGAGACTCTTTTCTTTCTATTGTATTGCCTTTCTCAGCCTTACTATGTGGGCTGTTGCCTTTCTTTCTCTTCTTTTTCATCTCTTATACAATACATCCAGCCCCAGATTCCCCTCCTTCCTCTCCTCCTTGTCTTGTGCTGTTTAGCTGTTTTCTTTAGGAAGGCTGCTCTGAAATGTAGTGGAGGTGGATCTGGGGAAGAGCTGAGGTGGGAAGGAGAGCTAGGAGAGGTGGAGGGAGGGAGAACTGTGGTTGGATGTACTGTATGAAAGAAGAATCTATTTCCAACAAAAATAAATAAATAAAATATTCTTTTTCTATTTTGGATACTTATATCAGTCAAGGTTTGCAAATTACAAAGCGAAAGAATGCTTATTTGGTTCAGATGAGAAGCATTCCCCCAAAATTCATTTATTAAAGGCTTACTTTTCTATACAATTCTCAGAGGAAGGGCTTTGACAAAATTAGATCATGAAGGCTTTGATTTAGACATTGTTTAATCTACAGATAGATTTATAATAGAAAGCAGAGCCTACTAGGGGGATCTATGCCACCAGAGGAATGCTGTTAGAAGACTATCTATCTATCTATCTATCTATCTATCTATCTATCTATCTATCCATCTATCTATCCATCTATCATCTATCTCCTTCTCTTCCTCATTCTCCCACCAGCTCCTCCTTTCCCCCCTCTTCTTCCTCTCTTCTCTTTTTCTTCCTTCTTGGCTGTCATGAAATGGGCAACACAATTCTGCTATATTCTTCCTGCTAGTCTCTTCTGCCACACCATAGACCCCCAAATCACAAGTTCAATTAATCATAGAGCAAAACTTTGATATACTGAGGTTAAACATGCCTTCTTCCTGTTTTTCATAGACATGTCATTAGGCCAGAAAAGCGCCATTCTCTAAAATTCAGTGTGCCATGAGCAGCTACATGCCATTGTCTACCCAACTGCCACACTGAGCCAAGTGACTTACACATTGTGACAAGAGAATCTGAGACTTTTATTTATAAATTCATCAAGATATGGAAAAAGAATATTTAGTCTTGAAATCTGGCCTGGAAATTTGTCCAGCTATTTTTATTCTTTCAGTTAAAGACTGCAGGGGGGGGGGTAGTCTTCCCCAGGTTGAGTCCCCTACATGGTTATCCAATCACAAGCAGGCATTCCTAAAAGTATAAATACATATAACACTAAAAAGACTTGAAAGGTCATAATTCTTTATTTATTCATGCCACACACAAAAAACAAAAATAATAATAATTAAAGAATAAGAGGTCATGAATTTTAAAGGATAGAGAATCAAGTGAGGGGCTAGAGGAAGAAGTAAGGGAAGAAACAATGTAATTACATAAAAATATTAAAAAGATTAAAAAGAAATCCAACCTGAAATAGATTTTTATGGGAAGTAAAAAACCAGAATAAGAGGGAAAGATGTATCTTCAGTGCAGAAGAGACATCCTAGGAAAATATCTCCAGAGTTGAAAACAGCACAACACATATGAAGACATAATGGAATGTAGACAAGTTTAGCTGGAGAGGAAAGAACCAGGGATGTTCTGAGTAACTTTTGATGATAGTGATGAGGAAAGAAAATGGCTATTGTCCTACAGAACACAGAGGCTAATGACCTATAGAGAAAACACAGCCTGGAAAGAGACCATGTAAGTGATTGAAGACTGCACTGAGGCCACAAAGTGGGAGCTTATTAAGAATCATCAGGAACTTCAATTCAGGGTTCTTGATCCTCTCTGAAAGCAGAAACAAGGGGTGGAGAATAGACAAGCAGCCATGAAAAGATGTTACAGTCCACTTCGGTCAGGCTGAGACCCATGCTGCAATGGTCCTAGTTTGTCAGAGCTCAGTGATTCTTACAGAGGCAGGACTTCCTGGGGCACATAGGAAACTTGAATTCCTAATTTACTTTATGTGCAGAGAAAAGGCAGACACACATTGCTGTGTATCACTGCTGGCACAGAAGTACACAGCTGTCTGAGAGGGGGAAGCCACCTCCAGAACAAGGGAGAAGCTAGCTATTTGTGGTCTGGTGGCTTTGTACCCATCAGGGACATCTCCTTTCTCGGTGTTGCCAGCACCATATGAGTAATGGATCAGCCTCAGTCCATGCCCCGGGTCCTGCCGATACCAGTACATGTTATTGTGGTTAAAAGTCTGGCGACAACTCAGTTCCACCTTTTGTCCTGTTACTGTCACCTTGCTTCTTGGGCTTTGGGTGACTGCAGCCTCCATGTGTTCTGTAATAGAGAAAGACAGAGCCTGGTGATGTCATCTTAGCTAAAAGACTGGGAATTCTGTTGAGGACAGCACACTTGTGTCCTGTCCAACACTCACTTGCACACAGCAGAGTCAAGGCCACACAGAAGAGCCTGAAATCCATCTCAGGACCAAGGCTAGATCTGATGTCTTCTGGGCCTCTTTGTGTAAACCAGAGCTTGAGCTCTCAGTGACTTAGTTATGTCACTGTCTCCAACAAATGCTTGAACTTCACAGTTGACAAGCCCCACCCCTTTCCTAGAGTAGCAACTTGATTTTAAGGCATAATGTTTTTGTTACTTCATGCAACAATATTTATAGAGTGTAAACAAATGTTGCCAACAGAGATCGGAAAGAATTTGTGGCTTGTTTTTTTTTTTTTCTAGATGCATGAGCTCTTTCTCTTAGTCTACTTTTGGTTAGGGTTAGGGTTGTTGAATATGTAAACCTGAGCAAGAAACTCTGACAATACAAACTTTACCTGGGTGAATATCATACTTGTCTAATCTGGCAGCCCCTCCCCACACATACACACTAACCCCAGCTTGTTTTATAATGCAAGAGACAGTGAGCTGCTACCTTTTTTGTTCCAAACTGGGAAATGCCAGGAGCTACCTCCAGGGGTGGACAGGTCTCAGTAGAGGGTATAAGGAGTTGGCAAAGAAAGGAAGTGAGCCAGGCCATGGTGGTCAGGAAAATCATGCAGTCTGACTGACAAGCAGACAGAGTACTTCATTATTTATACAGAATTTAATAAGTATGGATACATTCATGTTGTTCCAAAACATAGGTCAAACCATTCTTGTTTTTGAACACATGTTTAAAATTTTCTCTTATTCATCTTTTAGTCATCATTAGTAAACTACAACAAAACAGAGTTATCATTTCTAATCATTTTACCTCGTTTTGACATCATTAATCAACAGTTATCACTTTTAAACATTCTCACTCATTAACCTCATAACCCAATTTTTAAGAATCTAGAGACAAATGACAGCGTGTTCTCACACTGTAGCTTTTGTGGCTACAAGGACACTAGACCAAAACAAAATCTTCAAGCCAGCCCGGGCAGTTTGTCATGTCCCAAACAGTGTATAATTGACTTTTAATGCTCAGAGTGCCCAAGAAATATCCTCAGGCCAAAGAGTCTGCAGTTATTATTTAAATTCTGGCATAATACAATGCTCACATTTATATCATTATAAAATTTGTTTTATAAGTCTAATCCATTGTTCATTGGTCATATGACACCCCAGTGGCTGTGCATGTGCTAACTTTTCTAAGAAAAGGAGGTTCTGACATCTCATTCTTTTGTCATCTTTCTACATCATTCTTTGCCATTAATATGAGTCTCTGCATAGAGCAGAGTTAACTTCAGCTAACCTAACTTTGCTGCTGAATATGCCACATAATTTCCTGAATATATAGTGGGAAGAGGCTTGCAGTCTGAACTGTGGCCAGCTCCTCTAGCCCACTGAATCTTGCTGACTTATTTGAATTTACTTTGTTTTGAATATCTTGTCCTGTGCAAGTACAGGGACAAACGTTTCAAGAATATCTCAGAGCCTCATAAAGAGACCTCTGGCTTCTTTATGTGTGTCACAACCTCCAAGGCAAAAGGAAGCCCTTCAAGTAGATAAGGATATCTCCCTAAAAGCAGGAGGGGTAGTATGCTCAGGATTGTACTGGGAAAGCTTAGAAATAGTATTCCAGGGAGAAGGCATAAATGATTCATAAGAAATGTTCCATAAATCCAGTATGCCCAAATTGTACAACTATTAAAAGTTCCCCAAGTATGCAACAGGTGGAGATGAAAACCAAAAGTGGCTTGGTAGCCATCATCAGGCTCAGCGTGGCTGGATCTTTGTCAAGGAGCTGTGCTGGTTTTATGACTTCTGTTGTCCCCATCAAATATGGATGTCCCAGGGAAACACCAAGAGATTTCAGAACTTTGACTTAGAAGGCAAAGAGATGCAAATTTCAGTTCCCCTGTTGATATATTCAAACATGAAATGTTGGGAAATTTCATAAGCTACGGAGTCGGATTGACGTAAAGAAATCTTCATCTACAAGTGGACATGTTAATGTCTCCACTTGTCATAAAACAGATGGGTTAGAGTCGAAACACAACACAGAGCAGGGTTTCCTACAACTGGCTAGGAGCTGGAAGGTACTGGCAGACAAGTGAGAACATGTGGAGTTTTAGGGCCCACCCCAGTTTTAGGACAACTCTGTGTGGGCTCAGTTAGATGATGAGGGGATTAGTAAAGAGCTACAAGCATTTCTGGGCCTTGTCTAAGGCTTTATCCCACCTTAAGACACCTCTATAGTACATCACTAGTGGGAGCAGGAAGATTAAGGGACAGAAAGCCAGTCTCTCTGTGAGGCTGTGGTGAGCTGGCACAGAAGTACACAGCAGAGTCCTCCAGCTGCAAGGCGCTCATGTTCATCTCAGAGTGATAGTCACTGAACTGCTGGACTGAGAATCGGTTGGGCATGTCTCCTTTCGCTCTCTCCATTTTTTCATAATGCTGAATGAGGAACTTCAGTTCCTGCCCCAGAGGCTGTTGGTACCAGGCCACATTGTCATGTCCAGACATCGGAATGCATTTCAGAATGGACCTTCCTCCCTGTGCTTTGATTAGGTGTCTTGGAGTCTGGATGACCCCGGGATTTGCTGCACCTGGGGAGGCAGGAGGCAGGAGTGAGCATCTGGAGAAAGAGTTCATGGATGCAGCAGCAGTAAAGGCGCTGAGGAGCAGTCCCTCCAGAGCTCAGGATTTACCTGTTGCCAGGAGAGAGACAGTGACACAGCAGAGCAGGGTGGGGCCCCAGGCAGAGCCACACATCCTTCTACTTGGGATGCTGCTCTCCTTGGTGAGAGCAGGGGTCAGCTCCTCCTTTCCTCTCATTGCCTGTGATGTCAGGTTCTGATGTCAGCGAGCTTGTTGGCTCCCACAGGCTCTCTGTATCCTTGAGCACACTCTGCTGGCTCAACCCTTCCCCTTTTAGGCTCAGACTGCTTAGTGGAAGGGAAATGTCTAAACTGAATAAATACGACTGACTGTGTAGAAGTCCTTTTCCTGCTTTTCTCTGCGTTGGTATCTTTCTTCTCCTATGTCCAGGAGTTTTGGGATTGTCAAGGCTAAAGCCATGGCTTCCTGTGATGATGCCCAGTGGGTGTGCAAAGAAGGTTGACATCCTGTCCCCCGTCTCCCACCCTGTTCCTCCTGAGCCAGCACTGTTTCTTTTTTTAAAAAAATTGATTCTTTTTTCTCTTCTCTTTTTTATTTACATTTAGAAACAATCTTGTTCTACATGTCAATCCCAGTTCCCTCTTCCTCCCCTCCTCCCCTGCCCCCCACCCAACACCCTTTCCCATCCCCTTTCTGCTCCCAAGGGAGGATGAGGCTTTCCATGGGGGATCTTCAAAAAATCTGTCAGATCATTTGGGGCAGGGTCTTGGCCCTCCCTTACATATCTATGCTAAGAGACTGTTCCTCTATGTGGAACTGGCGAGCAAAGGCCATTTGTACACTAGGGATAAATACTGATGCACTACTGGTGGTCCCATAGACTACCTAGCCCTCCTAACTGACACCCACATTCAGGGGGTCTGGGTCAGTCCTATGCAAGTTTCCCAGCTATCAGTCTGGGGTCCATGAGCCCACCCTTTCTCAGGTGAACTGTTTCTGTGGGCTTCTCCAGCCTGGTCTTGACCCCTTTGAGGGAGCCATTATAGATTTAAAGAGAAATCTGACACTAGGCAAATGTCCAGAGATTTACAAAGATGACCCCAACTAAGAATCTAAATATTAGTGGAGAGGCTACCTTAAATGCCCTTCCCCTATAGAGATTGATGACTACCTTATATGCCATCCTAGAGCCTTCATACAATAGCTGATGGAAACAGAAGCAGACACCACAGCTGACACTGAGCCCAACTCCTTGAAGCCAGCACAGTTTCTGGTTCCACAGCTAATTCCCTACTGCAGGCTCCATATTAAAGCTCTGCATCCATCTTCTGAAGCACTGCCCACAGCTCACTCAGTAGATGTGCAGCGCCATCTAGGGACCAGGTGTGCAGTCAGTTGGCTGCAATTGGCATCAGGTTAGGCTAGAAAAGATCAAGAGTTGTTACCAGCTTCAATTGGCAGGCAGAAATATCAAGTATTACCTGAGCCAGTGAAAGAGCAAAAAAAAAAAAAAAAAAAAAAAAAAAAAAAAAAAAAAAAGGAAGTCATTAAAAAAGAACAAACTCTAAGTCATATCACAGTATAGACATATATGTCATTAGATTCCAGACGACCGTGGAAGGGGGCGGACCTGGGCAAACTCTCTTTAGTACAAGGCTGACTGTGGATGCTGTCATTGGAGAAAGATTTGAGTGATTAGGAAAATAACTAGTCTAAGGAAAAGAAAGCTGAGAAGGGTAGAAGTTTGGGATTATTGGTGTAGACATCTAGGCAGTCTTTAAAGAAATTTATATATTAAAATTTTACAATTGCATATTTCACCATTTGAGGTTACACACAGCTTATTTTCTCCTTGTCCTTGTTTTCTGACTAATATTATCTTCACACTCATTATTTCTTCCTTCTGGAGCATCCAGTCTACTGGTACTTACAGTCAGCTATTACTCATAGCAAACGCTGCAATTTTCTCCTCAGTCTTGATGCTTTGCCTACATTTCTACAAACTGGTTAAGGTGTGTGCTGCAGTCATACTGTTCAATGTCATTGTCAGTCAGTTTGTCAGAAATGGGTTGGTTTCTAGTGATTGATTTCTCTCCTAGTAATGAGTTCTATTTTCTTCCTTCTTTGCAAAGCTCTAACCTTTTATTTGATGCCAAACTGTTTATTTGATATTTGAGTGTGTGCTAGTTCTTACTACGCTCACAGCTTTATTATACAATGTTCTTCTTTTTTTGTTCTGAAAAACAAAAAAAAACAGGGAAATTCCTAGCAGATAGTTGTTGATCCTTGCAAAGAAATATATGAAAAAATATATATGAAATATTGTCATATATTGTTGTATATATAAACATTTTCATATATATATATAACATGTATATGAAAAACATTATATTGATTAAGAACCTTTGATTTAAAAAGAGTTTGAGAAAGTAGACTAACAGATAAAAGATCTATTATAATATTGTATTAAATGAGACCGGGTGTTACACTTGAAGGATCTGGCAACAGAATATATAACAGAATACAGAACCAGAATAAAGGATCAATGCATATGCAATTATTGCTTTATGATAAATGTGATTTTATTGACCAGTGAGGTAAGTAAATGTTATCATTTAGCAAATACCACTGGATAAATTGGATAACTATGTAAAAAAATATACAGTGACCTTTCTTATATACCGAGAGTAATTGTAGCTGCATTACAAATTAAAGTGTAAAAGTTTGAATTTTTTAAAAGGTATATATGAAAGCATGACTGTTTTGTATATCAGATAACATAATATACAATAAAAACTTAAAACAGAAAAATAGAATGGCTTTGGTTTAATAACTTTTGTTCATCAAAATAGGTACTGTTACCTGGGTGGTAGTGGCACACGCCTTTGATCCCAGCACACAGGAGGCAGAGGCAGGTATCCTCTATGTGACTTCAAGACCAACCTGGTCCACAGAGCAAGTTCTAGAACAGTCAGAACTGCATAAAGAAACCCTGTTTTGAAAAAAAGTTGTGTGTGTGTGTGTGTGTATGTGTGTGTGTGTGTGTGTGTGTGTGTGTATGTATGTATATGTATACAAGTGAGTGTGTGTATGTGTACCATACATAATATGAAAATCAACTCATATATAAATGTATATATATACATATATATATATATATATATATATATATTACCAAAGAAAATTTAAAATGCTTAGGGAGATGGAAATTCTAACTCATCTGATCATTACACCATATGTGTGTGTATGCCACACTATATTTCAAAAATATATGTAATTGAAATACTAATGTTTAAAATTGAAGTTTAGAATATTTTCTCAGTCACAGGTTTGTAATCCAAGTGCTCAGGAGGCAGAGCCAAGCAGATCTCTGGCTGGATGGTCAGCCTAGCCTAATAGGACACCCAGGCCTCAATGAAGAGACCTTGTCTCAGAAAGGAAAATAGACAGCACCAGAGAAATAATAAGGCTGACCTCTTGCTTCCATGGATACACAGACAGACAGGAACACATGAGAGTGTGCGTGCGTGCATGTGTGAGTGCGCGCGCGCGCGCGCGCGCGCACACACACACACACACACACACACACAGGCATACACACCCCACCACCATCACCACCACGCACAACAACAACAAGATAAATGGCTGAGTAATACTGGAAGGAGAAAGAGAGCCAGTGGCTGATGAAAACTCACCATGCCTGGGGGAGCCTGGACATTAATGTAACTACTTTGGAACTGGTCTTTGGGCCATCTTGGATTCTGTTGTCTTCAACAGCTTTACAAGTTCCATTGTATTTTATGAAATCAATCTAAATTTAACTTTCTGTTTTCTACACTAAAGAAATCTATTTAATTGCACATCACCCAGAGTTTTATAAACCAACTTGTTGGAAGTTTCTTTTAAATCAATCAAACCCATTAACATTTTACATAGACCATATGTTGAAAATTTTCACTATATATCCTGAGAAATGAACGAGGAGACTAAAACACCACTGGGAGATTTAAGAGAAAAACGTAAAAGGACCATATCAGAACTTTCTCAATCATTTTAGAATGGGTGGAATGCTTACTTTTTAATAATGAGGGTGATGATACTATGGTCATTCATACAACTACACATTGCAAAGGACAGTTATGATTATTCTCCTAAAAATTTCTTAACAATCTATGAGGCATGACAATTAATCTCTTCACAAACATGAGGAAATGAGGATTACTGCATTAAATGACTTGCCAATCACAAAACTGATAAAAGACTCATTCAGTACCTTAAAATAGGTACTACTGCTTGATACAAAACTGGTATTGCATGCTGTAATTTTATTAACATGGTTGCAATTAAAAGTAAGGATGCTGGAAGCTGACTTTGTGTGCTGTGTGACTTAAGTTTAAAACTTCTTACATCAAAAGTAGTGAAAACAGTGATATTAACATTTTAATAAGCTCTTGCCTAAATTTAATGATAGTAGGAAAACTCTGACAAAGGATGCCTGTCATTCATCTCTTATGTTAAAAATGCAAACACAGATCAATCAGGTTAATTTGTATTTTGGAGAAAGGGTGAATGAATGAAAACATCTTACTCTACAATAGGAGCCTTTAGTTATTTGTAACCATATCCCCATATTTAGATATACAATTTTATACTAATAGAATCATTGACTACCATGTGGCATAGGATTGCTTTTGAAACAGCTAACTGGCAAGAAAAATGAAATTGAATGAGTGCAGGGTTGTTGAAGGAAATAAAAAGTGGTATATGGTTATAATTTAATGGATGTTTGCTGAGAGACTGTTGCTTTTGTATGACTGACTTTTAAAGAAATTATTTAGGTCCTAATATTTTTATGACTGGCCTTGATACCTTTTTATTCTAGCTGGGCCACTGCTTGATATAATGTAGGTCTGAGTGACATTCAGGGTGGAATAGTTTGTAAACACAATGCAATTTTGTAGTTTAGTGTTTGCATCTGTTTGTATCTATTTATCACTATCCTTGAGACTAGGCTTTGTTGTTGAGTCCCAGTTACTGATCTGCCTAGCTCAGGAATACTAGGAAGTGATAATCCAAATTTACAAAGGCTCAGCATCACCTCTCTCACAGCCCAAAGGTCATTTCCTGACCCCTGCTCCTGCTGGAAGAACCCCTGAACCTCCAAATGCATTTGCTCCCTTTGAGGGGAGGAAGCAGACAACTCATTTGTTCAGGGC